TAAGCCATGGGGCCAGCATGTGGTATAGTGGTTAAGGCACTGGATCCCCACATAGCAGGCAAGGCTCCAGTCTTAAAATTCACACTGGGCATGCGTGCCCAAACTCCCAAGAGGAGAATAGAGGAGAAGGGATTGCGGTATGGCCATTCCCCCAGGGGGTGGTTTCTCACTTTCTCTTTCTCTCTCTCTCTTTCTGTGTGTGTGTGTGTGTGTTTGTGTGTTTGTGCGCGCGTGCACGCGCATACGTGTCTCCAGCTAGCATACACACCCTATAACAATGAGTTCTCTCAAAAAATATATATATATAGGCCACTAAAGTTGGGAGCAATTTGTTACGCAGCAATACTAACCAATACAGCAGGTCTCGATTTCTTTTTTTGTTTGTTTTTCTTTCCACTCTCTCCCTAGATGAAATCATCCAGTACTATGGCTTTAAATACCAGGTATAGGCTGAGGACTCCCAAATCTCTATTTCCGAGTTCTGGCCTCTCCTTTGAGGGTCAGACTACAACATCTAATGGGTTAGGTGGCATCCTTTCTTGAGTGTCTCCAAGGCATCTCAAACTTACTGTGTCCCAAACTGAACTCTTGGTTTCCCCATGCCCATACTAGGAAATGGTACCATCCAGCACTCAGGCCCCCAAAACCAGGCATTTCTTTTGTTTTATCCTCTGTTCATCACCCCACCCCAATGCAACCTCCTGTATTCCTGTCTTTATCTCCAAAACACCTCTCAAGTTCACTTCTACCTCCCATCTCACTGCCACAGCCTCACTGCAGTCACCATCAACTCCCACCTAAGCTGCTGCAGCAGCCTCCTGCCGGTCTCCCCTGAAATTCACTTCCACACAGCAATGAGAGTGCTCTGAACTGCAAAATTAGAATACTTCACCCCTGTGTCGATGGCAGAAATGGCCACAGGCCCCACGCTCTCCTGTGGGCACGCCCCTCGCAGTATGGCAGTACAGCTTCTGCCATCAAGAGGTAGAGTCTAAATGTCCATCCCTGTAATCTGGGCTTTGTGTTTGTCACTTGCTTTAACCAAGGAGACTTCAGTAAATGTGACACAAGTAGAGACTTAAGAGCAATCACACACCAGGCCCTTAGTCTCTTGCTGTCCTTGTCACCGTGTGACCGCCACCATGTGAGTGGGCCTGGACTGGCCTGCTGTGTCCAGTGACCTTAACTGGTAGGCCTCTGACTGCCCGCTGGCCGCAAATGAAGGGGTGGAGACTGCCATCTTGGTGTGGACAGACGAGCCATCCCAGCTGAGCCCAGCCCACACCGCCAAGCCACAAATCATGTAAAGGTTCTTGGGGTCAGGTGTGGCACAGTGGTATTACAACTGGACCCACATGGGGTAGGTCCTCAGTTTGCATCCCGGTACCTCCCAAGTACTCCCTGGGAGTTCTCTGGGCAAGTGTGGGGGACTGTGATGCTGGCTGGCTTAGGCTGGGGGTGGATTGTGGCATGAAGAACCTGTTCAGGGGGTGCCTGTTAATCTCTTTCTCTCTCTGTCTCCCAGGGAAAAAATAAATAAATAAACAAACTTAAAATGAAGTTTCTTCTTTTAAGTTACTCAGATTCTGAATGAGCTAATTGAAATCCTCTGAAGGTTTCCTGTTGGAAGTATAAATTCCCTTGTCCTCTCCAGTTCTCGCCCATGTTCCTCATGCTGCTTTCCCCATGACCCAGATGCAGCAGCCCGAGAGGCCCCAGTCCTCTCCCACTGCTGTGGCCTTTCTTCAGTCTGGGGTGCACCTCCCCCAGCTGGTCACCAGGCTCTTTCTTATCTTTCAGGCTTCTCTTGGAATGTCACCTCCTCAGAGAAGCTTTATGCAATTTGCTCTGCCCACTCTCCACTCAATCTTAACACTGTCACTGTTTACAATTCTGTAATTACTTCTGGCATTATTTGACTAATGTCTTTTTCCTTCCCAAGACTGTAAACTCCATGAGAACAAGAATAATGTCTGGTTTTATCCTCAGGGCCTGGCCCATAATAGGTGTTCAATAAATATTTGAATAAATAACTTGAAAATAATAGTAATAATCATTATTATTGTTCTTTTTTGTAGAGAGAGATTTTTGTTATAGGGCACATAAGCTCACCAGAGAGACAGAGAGACAAAAAGCAAGAAATTACCCTCCCAGGGAGATGGCCATGCCACAATCCCTTCTCCATTCTCCTCTCATGATTTTGGGCACATATGCATACATGCCTGGTATGAGTTTAAGCTGCTGGGCCTGGGACTTGAACCACAGTTGACTACATAGGAGTTCAGCATCATAACCATTATGCCACTGCTGGTCCCAATAATCATTATTTTTAAGGTATTATCTCTAGAGCACTTTACCTTGAGTCAGACACTGTGTAAGATACCCAACACTCAAAAAATGCTCAATACTCATTCTATGGATCTTCACAAGCCTGCTCTGAGCCAGATTCTATTATTAGCCACATTTTGGAGACAAGCTCAGATAGGTGAAGTGAATTCCACAAGGTCACAGAGCTTGGGGGTGGTTGATAGAAATATGCATTGAAGTCACATGGCTTCATGCTGGGATCTAACTGTGACCTTATCATACCTCTCTGACAAGGGGTGCGAGTGTTCCCCTTGGGCAGCCTCAGGGGCATGCTGGTGGGCAAATGAGAGCAGCAGACCAGCCAGCCAGAACTTTAAAACCCATAGCCACCACCCTGGGGCCTCTGCTGCTTCCTCCCAACCCCGAGGGACTGTCCACACCTATCCACTGAACCGTCCCTCATCTCGTCATGGAGCAATGCAGTGGCCAGTGACTCCAGGTGTCAGAGTCTGAACCAGGTTTCACCACTTCTGTGTGACCTTAGGGAAGTTACTGAACCTCTCTGTGCTGTAGTTTCTTTATCTGTTAAATAAGGTCACTAATATTACCTACCTCCTCAGTTGTCAAGGATTAAGTAAGTTAAAATCTGTGATATGCTTAGAAAGGTGCCTGGCATGAGTTTAAGTAAGTGTTACTTATTATTATTTTTGAGAGTTTTTTGCTATAGGGCACATGCGCTCACCAGAAAGACAGAGAGAGACAGACAGAAAGTGAGAAATCACCCCCCAGGGAGGATGGCCACGCCGCAATCCCTTCTCCTCCATTCTCCTCTTGGGGTCTTAGGCACACACGCACACACATGCATCCGGCGTGAGTTTAAGCCACCGGGTCTAAGACTCGAACTGTAGTCGACTACATGGGAGTCCAGTGACATAGCCATTATGCCAACTGCTGGTCCCAAGTGTTATTAAGTATACAGATTGTGATGGGCCGAGTTGTGCTCCTCTCAGATGTTCTGTAATGACTCCCATGAGCACCCTCTCCAATAGAGACAGGAAACTTCCTCCTTAGGGTATGTGTCACTGTTCACTCATATAGTCATATCATGCCTGCTTTTCTTTTTTTTTTTTTTTTTTTTTTTTTTCCCAAAAAAAATTTAGCCACATACCTTCTTCTTT